AAGGTGATTCTATACGTTTTTTAGCTGTTGAAACCGTGAGTTTTAAAAATGACCTGATTCATTCTCAAGATGACGAAGCCTTGGATGGCGATGCAAGTCATAAAATATTTTAATTTTTGAGATCGTAATTTTTAGAATTCAGCATTAGGTCCTAGAAGAAGCCTCAAATCCTATGTTGAACGTAAACCGTACCATCAGGAAGTATCTGATTCTAGGAAATCGGAGTCCCTAGTTTTAGATAATCTCTTCAAAACTTACCTTGATTCCAGAACAGAAGAAGAATCACTTGTGATACTTGAAGACATTGGGGACAGGCTACGAGAGGTATTTTGATTGTAGTATAATGCTTTCAGTATGATTATGCCGTCGATTTTACGAACAAGGGTAAATTGGCATCATTGGTGTCACAACTGGCATCTTCGTCGACCAATCAAACAATTGGCATCTTCTCATGCCTTGCTGCTGCCCTTCAGGGGTTAGTATATGCTAAAATCTCTAATAACATAATTATTTTGATGATAGGAATCCTCCTGTTAAGCTTGCAATGTATCAGGCTGGTCTTCTTGACCAAATCGTTATGATTTGGCATCGAGAACTGCGCTCATCCTTTCCTGATAGTAATTTGATCTCACAGTGTTTGTTTACGGTTTCGACCATTTTGCGTCACTTTCCGCTGGCGCAAAAAGCATTTTTCGGCCCACTGGCAAATGAAAGCTCTCCGGTTGGATTTTCTTTACTCTATCACACGCTGCGCATAAAACCGACATCCGGCAAGCTTAAAGCTAGGCTATTTTCGCTATTGGGTGATCTTCTTGCAGAGCAGGCATGTTAGAGCTCTTTCATAAACCTTTTGATGACTTGATGTTTTTTAATTACAATCGCGTCAATGTGGTTTTTTTTTAAAAATATTTTGGGATCAATGTTCACCAACTACACCATAGACAGTTAAATTGTTATGCAACTCGTTGAATTAAAGTTCTAAACATGACTTTGGGTACTGCATAGTAAGTTTCGTGTGACAAATTCTATTTTAATTTTTGTTATGGTTGACAACTTTTGGTTTATTTTTAATTATCTTAATTGCTATTCTGTTAAAATTAAATTGTAAACAATAAAAATTAGGTCTAATTTTCTTACAGATAATATCCATTTTTGGGACACTTTTGAAAAACCTTTTATATTAAACTAATTATTGGGATTTATTTGTAGTAGTATGAGTGCCGCTTAAATCCAGTTTGTATCTTTTTTCTTTGAGTTAGCCACTTTGTGTTGTTGAGACAAACATGCTATCGATCATGGTTTGGATTTACGAAATTAGTAGGCCTGTCTATAGTACTTTGAAATAAATAGAGTTTACCTACTTGATAGCCCCAGCTTCCTGTAGTGCTCTTTTATTGAGTTGTCCAACCTCATCTCTTTAGAACATTACTGGCTCCAAAAAGGAACAGAAAAAATCGGATCAATGCGAACTGTACGTGCCGTAAGTGTTTGATAACATATTCGAAGTAAAGTTTTAGCTTCCGTGATGCCACTGCTGAAGCGTTAGGATTTCCATGTCTAAGCTACCATGCGTACAATTCCTTAGTTTTTGAGATCCGTTTAAGGCTAAATAGAGTAAACAAAAGTGTCTTATGGCTTCAAGAATGAAAGACTCGTTTTGAGATGTTTTACAGGACACAAAAATAACTGAGGAGGACGCTTCAGTATTCTGTCCACAATTTGATATTGACAATCCTACATTTTTAATCGTATTCCTAAGTTTGTTCTGCATATGCTACGTTTGGTGTGCCTTACTTTTCACTTTTTAAAGTAGCAAGTCACTGCCTATGTATCTACATGCAAAATCGTTTTTTGTAGAACAAATTTGGTAGCTGATTTGCCAAAGTATGGGTTTTGTCAAGCAGCGATAAGTACTTTGTTCGATCCCGATTTGACAGACGATACCTCAAACCGCCAGCGAATAATGGGGGCCATTTTGCATATATCACGGATCTGTTCGCCATCAGAAATGTTTCCCCATAAACCAGAAGTGAAGAGACGGAAAGTTAGAAAGTTTTTTGATAAGTGGATTCGCGAGACCCGTAAAGAGGCGGAGGAAGAAGCCAAAGAAAACATGAGATTTGGGATGAATTACTATGACGAACTTTTACGTCTTCTGGAGAATGCCAGTTACTCGATCCTGCGGCTTCCTGAAACAAAGCAGGTGTGATATATTAAATTGTTGTATGTTGTATACCTCACTTCCGTTATTATAGTGACTTGATATTGCACAAGTTGTCTTATTGCAACATAGAGATGTTAGGTCGATGTGGGTACAGCAAGGGGACGCGTGCATATCTTAGTTGAATTCATGGCACTGCTGGTTCCTAGAAATTGACCGCTCTGGCCAATGCAAGCGAACTTAGGTTCTGCCAAACATCTGCTGTAGGCTAGCGTTTTAGATTTGTTTTTATTGTCATTAGTGATGTATCCCGTGATGTAGGTAACGAAACTCAGCTGACAGACTTCGCCGCCTCACTACGGCCGAAAATACTTAAAATATGCTGTTTTAGGCAAAAGGCACCTTTTGCGCGGATAGTAATTTGTGACCCCCACAAAAGCGAAGACTACTGAATCCAGATGAAGAACATTCAAAACTGCACAGTGCGCCACACGCTATCTTCTATCACAGCCCTTGATTTAGCCCCTAATTTCGAAGATTTGAATGAGAGACTGCCTTCTCTTGCTTCTTAGGGTCTGCGATAGTAATGTGTTCTGGCCACTCCGGAACCATTTTACCCAAACCAATTGTGAGCGCTGGGTTTTTCTCACAGGATGCTAATTTTCTGCCAACTTCAAGACTTTTTTCCTAAAAATACCAAGTAAATCAAATGTCCCAATGCACGGTAGCATTTCCAGACTAAACGAGCGTAGAATCGTTGACTAAGGCTAACATCCAAGTTCCAGAAACAAAATCTAGGGAAAACTCGTGTGGGTATCCAGGACGATTTCTGTGGACGAGAAATTACTTTCGACTGGAAGCCTAAAAATTAACACACAAGACCTAAAAATAAGCTAGGGTATCAATGCCTCTCCCACATCCCCATGTTACCAATGGACTAATGAGGTAAATGTACACATTTAATTTAAGCAAGGCATGTGCGTAGGAAAAGACAAAAAACAAAAAAAATTATACCAGTGCAAGAGTCGGTGCAAAAAAATTACACAGCCAACTGAGTCGGTGGAATGTTACAAAGGGTTCAAGTATGTCGTAGATGCGATGATAAATGCCTAACGTCATTACATCAGTATGGTTGTCAAAGAAGTTGAAGAGGCGGCTACAGGTACTGGTGTGCGATGGCGTAAAACAAGGATTCGTTTAGTCCCCAGTTTCGGACTACTTTCTGATGGCAAAGCGAGCTGGGCTGCCAGGACAGGATTACTCTGAGCCGAGGTTTGGGCGGCAGTGCACAAGGGCCTTCTGGGATCTGCATGAAGAGGAGAGCGTAATCCAAAAAACAGTGAAAATATACATCAGGTAGATCAATTGACTAATAAGGGAAAAACGAGTTTTGACGGGCTCGGGGTTCAAAACACTTATTGAAGGTGACGATGGTTTTGATTCCTGTAAACGAGAGGTTTGAGGAAATAAAAATAAGGTAAAACTGAGTTAGTTATCCAATAAGCACGCGCGTTATGAAGGATTGTGTGATGGTTATTCAATGGTATTCACATATATGCAGATTTGTTTGGTAAAATTTTGCGGAACTTAGATATTGTATAGCAGGAAAAATAGCCAAGGATTAACATTTTACCGACGACAACCCACGTTTATCAAAAGGAGAGACTCGACGAGCAGTTAATCAAGTGTATTTCACGAGAATAACGCCACAACAAACATTATTAGAGTGGGTAAATAGTCAGCCATAAAATGTATTGAAAAATGCGGTGAAGTGAAATTATAACATTAGATTAGTTGACTGGGATAAGTGCAGATTTTTCCAAGCATATATCTGCAAGAAGGGATTTGAATTCTATGAGCTCAACGAACCAGCATTGATAAGGCCAAAGGCTACGCTTGACTTACTGGCGCCCCACGATGAAGGGATGAAGGCGTACTGCTGGGTAACTGGATGGAGGGTTTGATAGGTGGTGATAGTGGTGGACTGTTGATGCTGCCTGACTGTGGCCCGCTGGTCGTCTTGGTATCGGCGACGGCGGAATGCTTGACTAATAAAACGCTCCTCAAATTGTGGATCAATCAACCAGTAGCAACCCTTCCCTGGCTCGTCTGGTGTTCGCGGTGCCTAGATTAAGAAACACGAACAGGTGAGTTGGCCTCACTTTACGACTAGATCATGAGTTAAAATAACGCCACAAAGTCAAAATAAGTTAGACTAACAAGCGAATAAATTAATTACATGTTGTTACAATAAAGACGGACTGTTTCCTTGAACAAAATATCCTACCATCACTAGTAAGTGAAAAAGGTTGTAATCTAAGACGACTGTACCGCAAGTAGTAACTTGATAAGTTGGCAAAACCAAACTGGTTTATGACATTAATAGTAAAAGGTTTGTATAAGGATAATCAATTAAAAATTAGAAACGTCAAAGTGAGTAAAGCTATTAAAAACAAAATAAAAATGAATGACATACCTTGCAGAAGTGTTTGTTCAATGAAAGATTGTGTCTAACTGAATTTTGCCAGCCCTTGTCTTCCAAGCGGTAGTAGGGATAATTTTGGCTGATGAAGTGATAAATACCTGATAGCGTTAGGCGACGCGTAGGCTGACTTGCCAATGCCTGAACAATGAGTTGGGCAAAAGAATAAGGTGGTTTAACTGTGCTGATGAACGGGCCAGTTGATTCCGAGTTGATGTCCCAGAGCAGCGGTGTACTAGTCGGTTGATCAAGAGACACGACAGTTGTGTTTAAGATTTGGGGCTTCTGGCTTTGTTGATGGTTAAATGTTTCAGAGATTTGTGTGGAACTGGAACCGAAGTTAAACGCAAAATAATGTAAGTTCTTAATATCAACAACGAAAATATAACAAGCACTTACTCAGTCTGTTTACCGTTCAGTACGTTGTCCACTATGAGAGACTTGCTGGGTGAAATAGTGGTTAATAACTGCTTACGTCGATTTGTTGAAGCATAGGAGACGGTTAAACTTGCACTTTTACATATTTTAAGTTCCTTGTCCTCGACATCGGAAAGATGCTGTGGACTGTCAATTGTATTTTCATGGATCACATTAAGGCGTTTGGGCCTTTTGACGGAATCAGTTAAACGTTTGGACTGACACTGCACCAGAAGTTTTAATGAAGTATTGGGGAAACGAATATGGCATCTAAAAAAAACAAAACGAGGAAAGTCGATGTAAAATGTTATAACAGGCACTAATGCCACTGATAAAAACAATTATACGACAGAATCCAGATTAATAAACGGTGAGTTAGGCATTTGAAGCATTCTTGTAGCATAATCAATTTAAAGGTAAAAAAATGAAAAATCTGTATTCCAGGTGCGAAGGAAAATTTCTCACTCGATCCTTGAAGCCAAAATCCGAATGAACTAATATAGGGATTAAAAACACCTTAAAACATGTTAAAACAACATAACCCACTCCTTGGTGTAGATGTATACACAAACAAAGATTGCGAACATACCAGAGGTGGTGAAAGATAACATTATTTTAGTCTTAATAGATCGGGTTAATAACAGATTAGATTAACAAAAGGGTTTACGAACGCAAAACAATCCATGACATAAAGCAAGAACGTGGCTAGGTAAATGTTGAGAGTCCGTTAACATAACAATATGTTCTACCCATGCAATCTGCAAAGTAAAAAAAAAGTAAAAAGATGAATCATTGAACTTCTGGTGTTAGGCTTCAAATAGCATTCAGATATTGGTAAGCGGAACAAATATAACTTCACTCATTGTCTCCTGCGCTTATCACAAATTTCAAAAAATCAGATAGACCAGATCTAAGGAAAATTTAATAAAAATGCAATTTGGATACAAGTAGGTTGGAAAAATCATACCTTTTGGGAAGCCGATAGAGAATACTCCCTGGTTGCCTATGATTTTCATTGATAAATATCCCATTTTTCCCCAGACATTTAAGGAAAATCCGACCAGCAAACCATGTTAACTCGCAATGCCGCCGGGATATCAAGGAAGATTCAAGTATCAGATCCTTTTCGAAGTCCTTTTCACGCCGACCAATGACAAACCGCTTTTTTCGCATAATATGTTTAGTGGGACCGTTGAAAATTACAGCATAACATCGCATTAACGACCTAACACAGCGCCGAGTCATTTTATAAGAAAAACCTAAAATTCGCAGACATACGGCGGAACAATAAAACAAAACGTAAGTAGCAGATATTATACTAAACAGATGTACATTCTTTTAAGACCTGGAAAAAAGAAAGGTCCTTTTCCGTTTCTGTTCAAAGTAATGACATATACCGAAGCTATAATTTGTTTGGTGCAACCACTCTTGTAAACTAATTTGCTATTTGTAATAAAGTAAAGCTAAAAAATTATTTTAAAGTCTGTTCTTAAAATATTTGCAACTCCAAATAGCCAGTTAATCTGTGTAATCTGCACTAAAAATTAATATTTATTGTCATGCAATCTACTTTGAATTAATTATTAGTCGCAAGAATTACAAAAACAGGATGCGCACATTTCCGTTTCAAAGGGGAATTTTTCCTGTAAAAAGTGAGCATTTAAGAAAAATTCCTTAAATCTTTTTTGACCACCGTGTACATTTTGCAGATCACCATGGGTGTATGCCAAAATGTTGTTCTATTGCAAAAATTTATGTTCATTTACGTTTTACCATTTCTATATTAGTGCCACGTAAACGTCTTACGGTGAGCGACAAATAATTTGCTGACTTAAACTTTACCAAACACTGATTATGAACTTATGAACTGTCTACTTATAGCTAACATAAGCGAAGTGCTAATTTAAAAATACGCCATTTTAGCGTTCCCAATATTTTTTACTTGTTCCCAAACTTCTTAAAACCATGACGGAAATGATCCGATTCTGCGTTTAAAAACCTAATTATTGGTTTTGTTAAACTTTTACGCTATTGGCGTAGATATTTGAACTACAGGCGTCATTTAATTTTCTCCTGAGATCCTATTTGTTGCTTTGTATCCATTAAAATAAGTGTAAAAATATAACTGGATGTCGTTTTTCAATTGTTTTGATAATCAACTGTTGTCTGCAGATTATTATGTACAATCTAATTAGTTAAAAACAAATAAGATTTTCGGTAGGAAAGTTATGGTTGTGCCAAAAACCTTAAGCTGACAGGCTAGTTAACCCGCAATATCTGATTTAAGATATCAGCATGTCTAATTTTCAATTAGTAGGATATGAATTTAAATCATAATGTTATTCATTCAACTTATGGCTATCTAAAATAAAATGTAGAAATAATGGGATAGGAATGCATGACAACGAATTTTGCAGTACCGCCTTAATTGGAAACACAAGCTTGCATATTTACCTTAAACCAATGCAGCGATTTGAATGTACCCTTATCAATTCTATAATCCTGCATTTTCTTAAAACGGGAAACAAATATTCATAAAGAAATTGGGGATAAGTATTCAGGCAGCACTAAATGTCTGTGCGAAACATACATTTTGGAGCCTATTCCGTCTCGAGTTCCACTTTCCAGCAAAAAGGCGTTGCTTGACGCAGCCGTTAGATTTTTACATGGGGATAATTACCAATATCTCTAAAGACATTTAAATAACTCAATTTTGTTTGTTTACAATTTAAAAAAACCCGATAAAGGATTTTGCGGTCAATAAGTGCATGTTGTGCTCCCACAAAATGCATCTGCAAGTGTACGTTGAGAGGCACTTATATTATTAACAGCAATTTTAGTCTTGATGCCGCGTTTTATTAAAAACTTGCGTGATATAATAATTTTGAGGATAAATTTTGGTGGGTGGAAAAAAATAGATGCTAATGGTGAATGTAGTTGCTATAATGCTTTTAGAAATCAATTATTACTTGTTTTCTGTGGCCAAGTACAAACTTGTAGTAGCAGGTTTCGATTAAAATACCGGTGACGTTCAGTACATCAAAATTAATGAATAATTTTTGTCCTAATTTTCTCGAGTGAGATAATTTTTAAGGTCATTTTACTTAAACATTTTAATACCGTCTTTTTAACACAGCGGTTCTTTTTTTACTGCAATCAAACTTTTTCTTTTTATCACCACTAAAACCAGTTTTGTTCAACCACATTTTTTCCAAGGTCATGTCAGGCTTATGTACACAATTCTTTTGACTTTTCAAGGGTCGGTGTTTGTAATTTCTTTATTTGGTTGACTATTGAAATGCCACTCCTTGACCTAAAATGTTTGTCCACACACTCATATAAGGCATTTTTTTAGCGCTGCGCATCCCTTATCGAACTGAATTGGATCGCTTATACGATTGCAGCATTAAATCAAAACATCCCTTTGAACAATTTAAAATATGGTTCGAGGAAGCATTAGCGTACCCTAATTTATACGAACCGAATGCCATGGTTCTTTCTACTGTTTCCAAGTAGGTTTCAGCTATATGCTTGTAAAATGTCTAGGTGTGGACGTCCAAGTTCAAGATATGTATTGTTGAAGGGCCTGGACCATCGGGGATTTCATTTTTATACCAATTCTGCAAGCAAAAAAGGACAGGACATTGTAATTGAGATGATTTGATATAACTGACTTTAGTCGCATAACCCATTCGTCAGTCTCCTTTTTTACTGGGAGCCATTGAAGCGTCAGGTATCCAAAATCGACGCTTCCTGTTGTTTTCGTGTTTATCTTTTGAAATGCAACTGCTTAACACATTTTTTCATTATCCCAGGTTCGTATTGATGGGAAAGCAGACCTTTTGCCTGACGCTGAGTCTGTGGACTATTTTAATTCTCGTCCAAAAAGCAGCCAAGTGGCTGCTTACGTCAGTGATCAAAGTATGCCGATTAAATCAGACAAAGTAACTCTAAAGCAGTGTCACCTTTTCACGTAACATCACAACGTACATGGATATAACTAACCGTTTTTTGACTTTGCTAGCAACTTTTAAGTGACTTTGAAAACGCTCAAAGGAAATTCCAGAATGACGATACCGTCCCCAAGCCACAATCGTGGTGAGTCCACTATCTTTAGGTTCAGTTCATCTCTCTTCCCTCACTGCTTGGCACATTCTTATAGTAAATGCTGTTACCTAGTAAGGTAGACTCGAATATATTTAATTAATATAAACACCAACGACTTCAATTTTTTAACAGGGTTGGCTACACGGTTATGCCAGACAGAATGGAGTTCTGGCAGGGCCAAACCAATCGTCTCCACGACCGGCTGCTCTTCTTTCGACTAGACCAAAACGAAGAAGTCCCAGAGTTTGCGAAAGCTGGGGAAGAAGGCTGGTACTATGAGCGCCTCGCTCCCTAATGTGTTTCCTTTGCTTGTAATATGTGCCTTTACATCCAATCACCAGACATTAAATTCTTCCCAGCTACCAATAAATTGTTGATTTCATTGCTCCTTCATTTTCAAACAGTTAAATTCGCGTTTCAAACTACAACTACAATTCGTGTATGTCAAAACACAAAACAACATTACGCCCCTCCAAATCAGTTTTAGTACATCCTTTGAGTCAGACTTGTGGTAACGTAGTTGAGCTTTAACCTGAAACCGGCGTTAGCCAGATGTCACGGACCCTAACGTTGCTCATTCCATTTGGGCTTACTGATAGTATAACACCAGTAGCCAGAGTATTACCGAGGAATGAAATACATCATTTTAGTAAAAGAAACCGAATTCCGAGTCTTGGAACCCAGATAAAATAGTTCAAATCACATGTATGAGAGGGTGGCGGCGTAAGCGTCAAACTAAAGGTACAGAAGGGGAGTTAATCAAAAAATGCGAGTTAAGACGGGGCTTCTGTGTTGACAGTTGCTGTCGTTCCCTCCGACACGTTTCCACTCTGTTGCGAAAGAGAATATGAGGCGTCCTCATCAGTGTGACCTGGTGCACTGGGATCGCAGCATTGGAATTGCGAAATTGCCTCAGACATAAGCAGTGGCACAACGATGTCGTCCATGTTGGGAAGCACGAGAACCCTCTAGTGATACAACCATCAGAGTAGTAATTACAACTATGATTTCATAAAGTCGACAGACCCAATAGCATGGAAGGCGTTCGCCACTAATACTTGGCTTACTGACAGGGCAAGTAGTTCACAAAAAAACAAATACTTGTTATGGAAATACGGTTTCGTTGCAAATGAAATAAAATTAAACCGATTAGCAAAAGTTAAACGGTAAAGGTACTGTATTTTTGTTGTTACGCATATGTGACATCATCGAGCAACTGGTAACTGGAAACCATCTGAAAAGTACTTTAAGATGTAACCAGAGTTAATTAAAAAAACAATTACCAACGGGAAAAGTGGTACGAGTTGTTCATTAGATATAACATGTAATGGCACCTTGTAATTCATATCAGAACTAAAGTAAATGGGTTGTCATAACTATAACATTGACGGATGCTCAGTCCGAATCGAAATGTTGGTCATTCTCCGCCGTAAATAAGAAGACGAGCAACATAGCATGACAGTAAAATTACACTTTTGAGTTAAGTGCCTCCTGTTCGAAACATCCACCG